GTTTCCTCTCAGCCCACTCTAGTTTCCGCCTTTCTGTCTTCTGATCAGGACAGAGCTCAGGTTTGTTGGAAGATGCATTAGACACGTTTGCGTACGTTCCTCTTGTGGCTTTATGTTGCCAGGGTGCTCGAGGGTGACCAGTTTAGCCCGCGTCGGTCTTGCCGTCTCGGTGAATCTGGCTTGCCAGGGCCTTGCCTCGCCCTCTGGATCAGGGAGAACGTTACGGCCCCTGCAGAACTTTGCCTGCTGCCTCCAGTCCCCTGCTCTTTACATGAACACGTCCTAGTCTGAATCTCCTGCTTAAACTAGATGGGTGGAGGCCGTGGTGATGGTGGCCACGATCGTGGTGTGATTGAGATCTGGCCCTCTAACAGTCACTGCTTCAGTTCCAATTTGGTAAATGTATAGTTTGTCCCAAGTTGCTTATATTTGGTTTAAAGAAACCATTGCCAAGAGTGTTACGGATGATCTCGATTCCCAGTTCACTGGTTTCGCTTTATTCTTTACTTCTAGTTTGGTCTTCACTTGTGTGCAGATAAGTAGTACAACACCTGTTGGAATGCAGTGAGTACCTTTAGTGTCCGTCTTGTGAAGCTTTATCCTCCACGTTGCCGTGGCTGCCCCTCACGTGTCCTGTTATCTCTGTTGGTGTGACCAGCCTGTGGTGGAGAGGAGCCCTGCGGGGAGGGTGGTGCTGCCCGGGGCCACAGGGTTCCTGCTAGCGAGAGCCCTCGGCGCTGGCCGTTAGGCTGGTGTGAGAGGTTGGGTGGTCTCAGGACCTTCCCCCAGTGGGCGGGCGTCCTGGGGTGGGTCACAGCTCCTGGTGGAACCTCCGGCCAGGCCAGTCTCCGTGTGGCCTCGGGGGAAGAGTTTGTCCCTTGCTGCAGTGAGTGGAACCTGGAGGCAGCTTCCGTGTGTATCTAGGAGTCAGGTTGAGCAGAGCTGAAGCACGTGACGGGTGGCGAGTTTCCTTTTAATGCACAGCGATAAGTGGGCTTTTGGATTTGGAACGTACACAGCAAACAGTGGATGCCACTGCACGCGTGGTGTGTCTCATCCTTTGACCTTGGCCTGTGTTCTGGTGTGGACACCCAGCGTCGCATCCCAACACACCCCCAGTGCTTATTAAGGCTTGTCAGCGGCAGTGTGTCGTGTGCAGCTTGAGCTGTTCCTGCCTTCCACCCTTTGGCTTAGATACCAGTGAAGGTCTGTCTTTTTCTCTTGGTCTTAGTTGATTCACTTCATAATTTGCAAGGATATAAAACAGGCCATATTATCCACAGAAGGCTCAGTGTCTTAGATATAGGCTCAAGCCCGCGGAGGCGAGGGCGCTGACACGGCCTGGTTCCCGTGCCCTTCCTCCATGTTAGCCCAGAGCTCCAGCCCCCTCGCGGCCTGCCCAGGACAGACTCTGCCACGTGGACCTTGTGGGCAGATCACAATGGACAACCCAAACCCGACTGTCCTCTGCACACGAAGGGACAGGGAGAAGGTTTATCCTCATTCCAGTACTGTCCAGTCTCTTGCGCTAGAGGTTGAGTGGCTGGTGGGGTCCAATCCCCCTTCCGTCCCAGGCCAGCGCCGTGACCCGAGTCTCGATGGTGGGAGGGAGGCAGCTGCAAGGTGTTTCTGGACGTGTGATTTGCTTATTTGAATTCCTGTTGTAATGTGAAATTGGGTATTTTTTCATTTAATATGTGCTGAGGGCCTAGTGCGTACATAATGGGGGTCTCCTAGGCCTGGGCTACAGCAGTGAGCTGGACATGCTGTTGGGTAGCAACCCACTCGGCCCACAGAAGGACCAGTAGGTGCGGCTGGAAGTGAGGAGAGGCAGGGCTTGGGGGGGCATTGGGGGAGGTTCAGGAATGCCGTGGAGGGCAGCGGGATGGGAGGCGAGGTGGGGGCCTGGGGCCTGAGGGGAGCAGAGCCTGTTTCCATCTGGGCGCTTGCGAGGGAGCCCTGTGCAGGCAGAGCCATTCCAGAGACTTGCGTGGCCGCTGGGCCAGATGGGCGCTGCGTGTGAGCCTGGGCGTGGGTTTCGGGAGAGGCCCTGGGCTTTGGGGAGGTCACTGTCTGTGGTGGCCGTCCTGTGCACTGCACTGTGGGGTGTCGCACCTCTTTGTCTGGCCTCTCCGAGTCACAGCAGTCAGCCTGGCCTGCTGAGAGCCCCTCGTGGGTAGAGGTGGAGGGGGTGCGGCCACTGGTGGGGTGGGGTGTTGGGGGCAGGTTCTCGCTCCTTTTTGCACGTGCACTTTGTCTGGGTCGGACTGTGATTTGACATACTGTCCCCTGTGCAGGCGCACAGGCCTCTCTGGTGCTGCTCCTCAGGGCCACCTGGCCACCCTCCCCCAGCCATGGCCACCAGCCTGTGCCCTTCCTGTCTGTGACATGGTCGTTTTGAGAACGTCAGAGAGATGGATCGCACAGGGCATAGCTCTCGGGGCCTGGCCTTTCCCGCCCCACAGTGCAGCAGCTGTGTGGGAGGCAGGTCTACCTACTCCCTGCTGATGGGCACGGGAGCGGTCTTCAGTGTGGGGCCGTTAGGAACAGGGTGCTGTGCACATTTGTGTGCGGCTTTGTGTGAACTCGGGTTTCATTTCTCCAGGATAAACGCCCAGGAGTACATTTGCTTGGTCATGTGATCTGTGTCCGTTTGGCTTGATGAGAAACTGCCAAGCGGATTTTCTGGGTGCTGATGGGAACCCTTTTACTTTCCCATGAGCAGCAGAGGAGAGGTCCGTTTCTGCACATCCTCACCAACACTTGGTGTTGTCAGTCTTTTAAATTCTACCCATCTCATAGGTCTTCAGTGGTATCTCATGAGGGTCTTAATTTGCATGGCCTTAGTGGTCAGTGATGCTGGACACCTTTTATGTGTAGATTTGGTGAAGTGTCTGTGTGACTCTTTTGCCCATTTTGTAATTAGGTTGTTTTCTTGTTGTTGACTTTGGATAGTTCTTATGTCATCCGGGTGAGAGTCCTTTGTTGGGTATGTGGTTTGCAAACATTTTCTCCTAGAAGGTGAACAAGGCAAGAAGGTGGCTTGGTTTTTCAGTGTCTTAGAAGGGACTTTGGCAGAGCACACGTTTTTGATTTTGAAGATGAGTGTTTTGGAGGCGAGAGCTGACAGCCCAGTGAGTGGATCGGGCAACTCCATGGGCGCCTGCACGGGGAACCCGGGCTGGGGGTCTTGTTTGCGATCCCGGTGTGGGTACGGATGGAGGCGTTGGCAGGCGATTGGAGGGGGTTCCAGAGTGCAGGGGGCCACTCGAGCTGGAAGCGGGGCTTTGGGAGTCGTGGGCGTGTGTGTGGAGCTCTGCCCAGAGTCCTGAAGTCCTTGCCTGCTGCGTCTCGGGTGCGCGGAGCAGCTGGGCTTGGCGGGCTGAACACTGGGGGAAGGGTATAAACAGGCAGCATCCAGTAGCGCGGACTGAGAAGGAGCTCCGCCAGGGAGGCAGGAGAAGGTGGGTGTCCTGCACACACGGAGGAGCTGCTTGTCTGGTAGGGTCTCTCTCCTGAGTTGCAGGGCAGGACCTGACTCCAGGTCCAGAGCGGACCACTGCGGCAGACAGTTCGCCGGTCGCGAGCATGAGCCTGAATGGCAACTGGCTTTGCCGGGCGGCCATGGACACGTGAGGTGGGTGTTACTAACTGGCCAGAAATTGCGACTTGAGCTCTGCAAGAGTCTGTGGGGCTATTTTTAATTTTATTCTTTGAAGGTATTGGCTTGCATAGTTTTTTTTTCTTTTCTTTCTTTAAATATACCTGTGAGTCATGCTCACAGGAAGCTACGTTAAACGTGAACCCGTATGTATGTTCGAACCTTTCCGCCTAATGATTTAATGTCTCTGGCTCTTAGTTTGCTCAGTGAACATGATGGCAGGATTTTTTTTTAAGACAAAGAATGATTTCTTTTTCTTTATATGAGAAAACTATACAAAATGTCTTTTTTTTTTTTTTTTTTGAGACACGACGTCTCACTCTGCTTGCCAAGCTCAGAGTGATGCCGTGCGTCAGCCTAGCTCACAGCAACCTCAAACTCCTGGGCCTCAAGCAATCTCCTGGCCTCCACCTTCCAAGAGCTGGACTACGGCAGGCGTCGACCTGCCGCTATTTCTCGTTCTATATAATAGGTCGAGTTGCCACTTTACTTTATTTCTATTATGTCGAGACCGGGTCGTCCGCCACTTGCCAGCTGGTGTGACCTCTGCCATCGACAACCGCCGCCCTCGGCCTCGCCAGCGGTGCTACGATTACTCGCGCAGCCCCGCCGCCCCGCCTAAAATTTCCATTCTTATCCCGATGCCTCTGTACCGTTCTTTACAGGACTAATCACACGCTAAAGGTATTGATCTCTTGTTTAATCTCTTAGACTCCATCATCGCTGGCATTCATTTCATGGATACGTCCACTCCTGAAGTGGCGTTATCTTCTCTTGATTCCTCTTTTGTGCTTGCTCAAAGTAATATTGTTGTCTATTCCATCTGATCTTAAGTCACCAGCGGACCTCACTGTATTTTCTCAGTCACTTGTAGGCTCTGACGCTGCGCTCCTGCCCGTGTTACTGTTCCTACCGCTGCGTGTGTGGCACGCTGGACTCTGTGAGAACTGCGAGCTGCGTTGCAGCTGTCCGTGGTCTCACTGCTGCGTGTGGTGGGCGTCGGCGCGTGAGGACCGTGGCGAGCTGCGCTCTGCACGTTACGTTTCCTCACGGTGCTGCGTGCGCTGCGGGACCCTCGCGACCGCTGTGAGACACCGTCGGCGAGTCGTCTGAGTGTTACGGGTCATCCGTCTCGGTCGGGGCGGACGCCTCGGGACCGTAGGACGCGCTGGCGAGCTGCCGCTCTGCATGTACGTTGGCCCACCGTGCGGTGTGGACCCTCGGCGACGCTGGCAGACGATGCGCGAGCTGCGCTCCGCATGTTACCCGGTGTCTCACGTGCTGCGGTGGTGGGGACTCGGGACCGCTCCCGTGCCTCGCTGCGCCTCCTCTGTTCCAGGTGCACGTTCCGGTTTCCAAGCACGAACATCAAGATAACGTTCACTGCCTTGTCCAGCGAGAAGAGGGAGAAGCAGGAGGCGCCCGAGTCCCCGGTGAAGGCCGTGCAGCCGCACATCTCGCCCCTGACCATCAACATTCCAGACTCCATGGCCCACCTCATCAGCCCCCTCCCCTCCCCCACGGGGACCATCAGGTGAGCACCCTGTCAGCGTCACAGGCCCCGGTGACGCCTTCTCCTTTCCTGGGCTGCCTTGTGTGGAGGGAGGGATGTCGCGGGTGCTCGGGGGGCCGCCGAGGTTCTGAGGACCGCGCCCTGCGTTTCCTGCGTCGGGAAGTGCAGTTCCCAGATGTTCCTGGTTTGCACTGACAGCTTCTTTCTATTGGAGTGTAAATTGAATGGGCAGATGATTTGTAATATTGGTCTGAAGTATGATGTACATTGTAATTTTAATTTTGAATATTTCTAGTTTGTTACAATTTCACATGAATTCTGAAAACACATGTCCTTTGGTTTGACCACATCGAAGTGACCAACTTGTGTTCCTCGTGATGTCCCAAGAGAGACCCAGGTGCCTTCCAAGCACACCTGGCTGGCCCTTCTCGGGCAGAGCCTGGAACTTAGCACACTGCAGTTGGGTTCATGTGGAGCTCTCGGGGGAGAGTAACTCAGGGCAAGGAACAGCCACAGAGCCGCAGGTGTGTGTTGGATGCTGTTCTCCAAGTGCGTCCAGTTGCCGTGTGCGGTCAGTAGGAAGCCCGGCTCTGACCGTGGGGACAGAGCTTGGGCTCAGCCCAGCCCCAGTCTGGTGGTTCTGGTGGACCCTGGGCAGGCTGGAGGAGTCGACAACGTGGGCATCTTCCCAGCTGTAGGTGATGTTGGACTTTGGTGTGAGATGAACACATTAGACAAACATGGGCCAGAGTCCTACCATCTGGGTTTGTCCACTTAGTAGGGCTGGGAGGCAGAGTAGGGACCCTCTTGGTCTTCCTGGAGCTGGCCTTTCTAAGTGGCTGCCTGAGGGCACTCGGACTTCTCTGGGTTATACCTTTACATCGCATGCTTATGTTTTTTATCTTAAAAACCATCGTCAATAATAGGCCTTCTGGACATTAAATAGATATAAATAAATGGAAACACACCCCATGTTTGTGCATAGGAAAGACTTAGTGTTGTTAAGATGTCAGTACTACCCAAACCAATCTACAGCTTTAGCGTGATCCTTGTCAAAATCCCAGTAACTTTTTTTTTCCCCCGTCAAGTTAAATTCTTTGTCATCAATGACAGTTTTTGCACAAATAGAAAAACCTGGCTGGGCATGGTGGCTCACACCTGTAATTGTAGTGCGTTGGGAGGCTGAGACAGCAGGGTCACTTGAGACAAGGAGTTTGAGACCAACACAGCAAGACTCTGTCTCTACAAAAAATCTAAAAATTAGCTGGGCATAGTGGTGCACACCTGTAGCCCTAGCTGCTGAGGTAGGAGGATCACTTGAGCACAGGAGGTCAAAGCTACAGTGAGCCATGATCACACCATTGCTCTCCAGCTTGGGCGACAGAGCCAGACCCTGTCTCTAACAAAAGGAAAGGAAGAAAAGAAACAGAAAAGCCGACCCTAAAATTCATGTGGAATCTCAAGGAACCCCACATAGCCAAAACAATCTTAAAAAAGATGATCGAAGCTGGAGAACTCACACTTCCCGATTTCAAAACTTAGTAGAAAGCTGTAATAATGAAAACGGTGTGGGCCAGGCACGGTGGCTCACGCCTGTGATCCTAGCACTCTGGGAGGCCGAGGCGGGCGGATTGGTCAAGGTCAGGAGTTCAAAACCAGCCTGAGCAAGAGCAAGACCCCGTCTCTACTATCAATAGAAATAAATTAATTGGCCAACTAATATATATAGAAAAAATTAGCCGGGCATGGTGGCGCATGCCTGTAGTCCCAGCTACTCGGGAGGTTGAGGCAGTAGGATTGCTTGAGCCCAGGAGTTTGAGGTTGCTGTGAGCTAGGCTGACGCCACGGCACTCACTCTAGCCCGGGCAACAAAGTGAGACTCTGTCTCAAAAAAAAAAAGTGTGGTAGTGGCCTAGACAGATACACAGACCCGGGAAGTACAACACAGAGCCCAGAAATGAGCCTTCAGGTGGGTGGTCAGGTGATCATCAACAAGGGCGCCAAGACCATACAGTGGGAAAGGACAGACTTTTCAACAGACGGTGCCAGGAAAGCTTGATATGCATGTGCAAAAGATGAAGTCAGACCCTGAACTTACTGCATGTGCAAAAGTTAACTCAAAGTGGATCAGAGACCTAATCGTAAGACCTAAAACTGTAAAACTCTGAGAAGAAAACATAGAACAGAAGCTTCATGACACTTGGATTAGGCAATAATTTCTTGGATTTGTCACCAAAGGCACAGACAACAAAGACATTTGTCTTTTTAAGAAAAGACAAGTTGGACTTAATCAAAAATTAAAAATTTTGTGTATCAAAAAATAATATAGGCCGGGCGCGGTGGCTCACGCCTGTAATCCTAGCTCTTGGGAGGCCGAGGCGGGCGGATTGCTCAAGGTCAGGAGTTCAAAACCAGCCTGAGCAAGACTGGTCTGACTTGTGCATTGACATACTGTCCCTGTGCAGGCGCACAGGCCCTCTGGTTGCTGCTCCTCAGGCCACCTGGCCCACCTCCCCCAGCCCTTGGCCACCAGCCTGTGGCCCTCCTGTCTGTGGACATGGTCGTTTTGAGAACGTCAGAGAGATGGCACTCGCACCAGGGCATAGCTCTCCGGGGCTGGCCTTTCCCCGCCCCACAGTGCAGCAGCTTGTGTGGGAGGCAGGTTCCTCTCCCTGCTGATGGGCACGGGAGCGGTCTTCCAGTGTGGGCCGTTAGGAAACAGGGTGGTGCACATTGATGTGCGCTTTGTGTGACTCGGGTTTCAATTCTTCCAGGATATAACGCCCGCAGGACGTAGCATGCTTGGTCATGTGTCTGTGTCCGTTTTGGGGCTGATGAGAAACTGCCAAGCGGATTACTGGGTGCTGATGAGGACCGTTGTACCTTTCCCATGGCACAGAG